AACAGTAGACTATTTGACCATGCATCAGGAGTTCATTGACCTTGACAAACAGTGGACTATTTGACCATGCATCAGGAATTCATTGATCTTATAAACAGTAGACTATTTGACCATGCATCAGGAGTTCATTGACCTTGACAAACAGTGGACTATTTGACCATGCATCAGGAGTTCATTGACCTTGACAAACAGTGGACTATTTGAACATGCATCAGGAGTTCATTGATCCTATAAAACAGTGGACTATTTGACCATGTATCAGGAGTTCATTGACCCTGACAAACAGGACAACAGTTGAATATGCACCAGAAGTCATTGCCATTGACAAACGGCGAATCAATTTATCTTGCACCAAAGGGATTGACCTTAAAGAGTCAGGCGGATAAGTTCTAACAGTTAAAGGGCCCAGACTACGAATCCATAGGTTCATGGATCGCGTCTTGCTGCTGCAAAAACATATAGCAAACTGTGGGGCCATGGGTGTGCAACAAGAATGGTGGTCAAATCCTACTATGCACTCAAGCAGGTGGTGGGTGCTGTTGACCAGTTGCCTCCTCTACAGTCTACTAAACCCAAATTGATGAACGTCTATGTGCAGAGAACCTTTATGTAGGTTTACACGAAAATTCTAGAAAAATACAAATAAACTAATAAGTCACTAATCTTGACGATTAATGGACCAGTTGACTGTGCATAAAGAGATTACTGGCCTTGCTAAGCAGTGAATTGGTTGATTTTAAACCAGAGATCTCATCTTGACAAACATGACGTCACTGTAAAGAGGTAATGAGCTTTCACAAATAGCAGAACAGACTTATTGTAGGTTATTTCATTCACCATGACAAATACTGCATCGATAGACTGTAGATAAACAAGGATCAGTTAGCTGGGACAAAAGTAAAATGAAAACAAACCGAATATAGGGATTTTAGTGACAAAAACAAAACATTATATTTTAATTCCCTTATAAGAAGTCTTACTAGCACGTCCTTAAGAATACAGTGTTTTGTTATTCTTTTTTTTAATATTTTCAAGACTTTGTTGTTGTTTTTTCTAATTTAGCTCAGAAGTGATTTCTGTGTTAGAACCATCGGGCAAAATTCAAAAAAATAAAAATAAATGAAGCTATTGGAACTTAATTTTAATGTTTCTGACTTTTAGGCTTAGCTACCTAATGTTTATTACCTTTTACTGTTTGACTTTTAGGCTTAGCTACCTAATGTTATTAATTTTACTGTTTGACTTTTAGGCTTAGCTACCTAATATTTATTACCTTTTACTGTTTGACTTTTAGGCTTAGCTACCTAATGTTATTAATTTTACTGTTTGACTTTTAGGCTTAGCTACCTAATGTTTATTAATTTTACTGTTTGACTTTTAGGCTTAGCTACCTAATGTTTATTAATTTTACTGTTTGACTTTTAGGCTTAGGTACCTAATGTTTAATACAAATAAACGTCAATTGTTTTACCAACAATAACTATTGTGTGGTGCATGATACCTCATTCCAAATGTCATGTGATCCGCTTTTATTTTTGTTTGTTTGTTTGTTTTAAACTATACAAGGGGCTATCTGTTCTGTGCCAACCACGGATATGGAAATTCGGATTTTAGCATTATAAGCCCTCAGACGTACCCCCTGAGACATACACTCTGAAGCTTAAACTAACACTCTCAAGCTTGCCTCGAAAGGGAGGAAGCAAAGTATTACCAACTATCAGTTAAATAAGGACCGAGTCTCTGTTCGTTATGACAGTCGTTATTCAATGGGACACGTGACAAACAATAAGATGGTGAACAGTTTCCAGGTAACACTAAATTCAGAGTTCATTGATAATGTATTTTTATATATTCTCTCGGAACGATGATTTTTATAAGTTCGACAACGATTCTACTTAGGTGAGGTAATTAAAAGACATAATGAAATAATATTAAATAATACTTCTCCAATGAAGTGTCTTAAAATTTACTTTGTATCACGGTAGAGTACTGCGGGAAGAGCAGTAGTCCAGCTAAGGTCGCTCTGATTGCTACACATGCTGATGTGGCTGGCTGCTACCGACATGCTACAACAGGAGAGTACGTCAGTGGCGAAATTTCAGCGTTGTTACAAGAGGTCCAAAGAAAGTTCCAACACATTTTTGACCTTCATGATACAGTTTTTATCACAGATGCTCACGTGGCTGGTTCTCCAGGAATAAAGAATTTAAAACAGTACTTGAACATGGAAAGAACAAAGGTTATTCAGGTATGTACATCCTGATGAATGACAACACGTGGTTTAAATGTGAAGGAAGCTCTCAATAGCAGAGACTTTTTATAGTCTCTTTCGAGAGTAACATATTTATTCGCTACAACTACTGTTCTAAAAAATATATATATTATATACTATAGTATAAATTGTGATTGGATTACTTTTTCTTATTATAGTAGTGTTACGACAGCGGAAGTCACGTGACGCTCAGTGGTGGGATTCAAATATTTTAACAACAGGTTCTCTCACTAGCAGCATGTAAAAATATTAGATATTTAAAAAAGGAGGGGCCAGAAGCCCCCCCCCCCCCAATCACTGAGAAAATAAAGATAGGCCGTCACGGATAGTGTTAAAGATTCTTTAGAAACTTTCAATTAAAAAAGTGTTTTATAACCAAAAACACAGCTTGTAATGTATCTAAGGGTATTGTTCTACAAACCAAGAACATAGCTTGTAATGTATCTAAGGGTATTGTTCTACAAACCAAGAACATAGCTTGGAATGTATCTAAGGGTATTGTTCTACAAACCAAGAAATTAGCTTGGAATGTATCTAAGGGTAGTGTTCTACAAACCAAGAACATAGAACCAAGAACATAGCTTGGAATGTATCTAAGGGTAGTGTTCTAGGAACCAAGAACATAGCTTGTAATGTATCTCAGGGTATTGTTCTACAAACCAAGAACACAGTTTGTAATGTATCTAAGGGTATTGTTCTACAAACCAAGAACATAGCTTGTAATGTATCTAAGGGTATTGTTCTACAAACCAAGAACATAGCTTGTAATGTATCTCGGGGTATTTTCCTACAAACCAAGAACATAGCTTGTAATGTATCTAAGGGTATTGTTCTACAAACCAAGAACATAGCTTGTAATGTATCTAAGGGTATTTTCCTACAAACCAAGAACATTGTTTGTAATGTATCTAAGGGTATTGTTCTACAAACCAGAACATGACTTACGAAACAGGGCTTGTAATGTATTTAACGATATTTATATATTGTTCTACAAACCAGGGCATGACTCATGAAACCGAGCTTGTAATTTATCTAAGGGTACTTATGTACAGTTATAATAAAGTTTTTTCATTACCCAGTCAAGCCGTCTTAGAACTTATATTTTCTTAAAATTATATTTTCTTAAAAGTGAGTTCCTTGTAACGTATCAAAATGCGATGATTCGTGTTCATTTTCAATATCACAATGTTTTAATGTATGCTACAGGAATCAAGCTATCTTTATATTCTCTCAATGCAGGACGTTCCCAAGAGCACAGGATTCTTAGAAGCTATGGTCACTCATCTGCAATCTTGGAGAAAATCATCATGTTCAAATCCCGTGTTGCTATGGCAACACTTTATTGATATGGTTCACATGCAAGTGAACCCCCTAGCAGGAATAGAACACATGAAGGAGCTTATTCAACAGCTGCAGCTTATGGGAGAGGCAAGATGACTTGTCTTAAAAATTAAAAACATGTAATTTCACATTATCTAGCTTCTAGAAAGTACTTTAAGTTCTTTTATAAACATATTTCATATAATTAACACTATTAAATGTTTCTTTCTTCATTCACTTATTCTATACATCTATTAGTAACTGATTAGTTTGTTATTAACATATATGTTTTTCTATTAGTAAGTGATTAGTTTGTTATTAACATATATGTTTTTCTATTAGTAAGTGATTAGTTTGTTATTAACATATATGTTTTTCTATTAGTAAGTGATTAGTTTGTTATTAACATATATGTTTTTCTATTAGTAAGTGATTAGTTTGTTATTAACATATATGTTTTTCTATTAGTAACTGATTAGTGTTGTAAGTAACATATATGTTTTTCTATTAGTAACTGATTAGTTTCTTATTAACATATATCTTTCCCATTAGTAAGTGATTAGTTTGTTATTAACATATATGTTTTCTATTAGTAACTGATTAGTTTCTTATTAACATATTTTTTCCTATTAGTAACTGATTAGTGTTGTTAGTAACATATATGTTTTCTATTAGTAACTGATTAGTGTGTTATTAACATATATCTTTCCTATTAGTAACTGATGAGTTTGATACTAAGATATATGTTTTTCTATTAGTAACTGATTAGTTTCTTATTAACATATACTTTATTGGAATTTTATAGTCAAAATCTAAAACTGTCTTATGTTCTAATATCGTGGTGAGAACATGAAATGTTTACAGGTGATTAATGAATAGCCATACATCTGGTGATAAGAGAAGACAGATAAGTGATTACACATCTGTCACAGCCATTACAAGTGGGAAATTAAAAAAATCAAATGTAAAAGTTTCGTTTCAATCAAACACCATATAACATTTAAAATGTACTTGACTTTTTGGCAAGAACCTAGCCCTAACTTAACATAAGCGCAAAAATGTTACACTAAACGTTATAATACGTTAAGCCTTTCACATTAAGTTTCTTAAGGCTTTTAGGCTTAATTGTTTTATTATGAATCACGAACAAATTGCTTTTTATCTGTGCCAAATTGATTTAATTTTTTTTTAAATTTTGTTTCCTGTTTAGTAAAAAAAGGGTTTCTAAACTAATAAACTATAAAATAAATGACCAAGTTTTTAACCAAATACAAAAATTTGACAAAAGTGTTGATTTATTCATTAAAGACGTTTCACCGAGTAATTGTTCGATTTTTCAGGTTTTGTTTCTTAAGTCATCCCCTTACAATGAAGATATGGTGGTGCTAAACCCAAGGTGTTTGTGTGTAGATTTTATCGGTCATCTGTTGTCCCAAGAGCACCTAGAGCAAGCACGTGTTACAGGATTATACACCACTGATGATTTTCAACTTCTCTTTCCTGAAACGCACGCTTTAGATTTACTGCAGGTGAGAAAATTGATTTAGGAAACTGTAATTATTAACGACTAATTATTTTATGGAAATTTAGAAAAATAATTAATTTCAGTTCATAAGAATGATATTTAACACCTAAAATTATTCATGAAACTCGCGCCCATTATATAATTTCAAATTAATTTGTTTTTGTTGATCCACAATTAAGGTTTTTTTCTTTGGAACTGACAATACACCTTTTCCTAACAAGGATGTCTTTTTATTTTCTTATTCCACACTTACGGCGTATCATTATTACAATAATTTTCCTTCATACTTGTTGTGACGCCAAAGATTTGTTTGTTTGTTTGTCTGTTTTTAATTATGCACAAAGCTACACAAGGGCTATCTGTGCTCTGCCCACCACGGGTATCGAAACCCGGTTTCTAGCGTTGGAAGTCCGCATACATACCACTGTGCCACTGGGGGACAACGCCAAAGATAAAATGTATTTGTTTTAAGGAAATGCTCATATTTTAGAAACCAAAGTACAAGTTGTTGAACGGACAAAACACATTTTTATTGTAACTATAAAGAGCATATTTTTTTCACAATAAATCAATGTTTCTACATAAATATTGGTTTATAAACAAGTGTAGGCATATTTTAATCATTCTAAAACTATGTAAGTATAATTTTTATATTTTAGAGTCAACAGATTTTCGCGTACACGTTTTCTAGTCAATATATTATGAAGAACTTACGAAACTAATATAAAAAATTTCAAATTATGACACGGACGAGATATGACAGACCAGATATGACACGGGCGAGGTATAACACGGACGAGATATAACACGGGCGAGGTATAACACGGACAAGATATGACACGGACGAGATATAACACGGACAAAATATGACAGACGAGATATGACACGGGCGAGGTATAACACGGACAAGATATGACAAGGTATGGCAGACGAGATATGACAGACCAGATATGACACGGGCGAGGTATAACACGGACAAGATATGACACGGACGAGATATGACACGGACGAGATTTGACTAAAACTGCAGTTACAGTTAGTCATAACGTGGTCTAATAATTTCTTAATAAGTACCCATAGATTTCGGTTCTTTAAAATATAACTTATAATTTTATAGTGCTAGCATTCTTACATGAATGCCTTTATGCTTTCCGACCCTCTCGTCTGTCATACCTCACCCGTGTCATATCTTGTCCGTGTTATACCTCGCCCGTGTCATATCTGGTCTGTCATATCTCGTCTGCCATACCTCACCCGTGTCATATCTTGTCCGTGTTATACCTCGTCCGTGACATATCTCGTCTGTCATACCTCGCCCGTGTCATATCTTGTCCGTGTCATATCTCGTCGTGTCATATCTCATCTGTCATATCTCGTCCATATTATACCTCGTTCGTGACATATCTCGTATGTCATACCTCGTCTGTGTCATATCTCGTCCGTGTTATACCTCGTCCGTGACATCCTCTGTCATACCTCGCCCGTGTCATATCTTTTCCATGTCATATCTCGTCTGTCATACCTCGTCCGTGTCATATCTCTTCAGATTTGTCACTTGCGGTATTTCAACTTTGTTATCTTCCTCAACTGTAAAATGAACCCAGAATCTCTTGCACATCGGGCGAGTGGCTGCTAGTAAGATGATTTTTACCAACAACAATTTTTTATGGTGTAAACACCTTTTCCAAGTTGGCAAAACATAATTATACTTCACATGAGACATTAGTATTAGGCCTATTACGTTTTTTAACACTGCATTATTTATCTAGTCTATTAAGGATTTTTAAAACTTAGAAGAATGTTTAATAATAATAGTATTCAAATCACACTATATGAACCATATCCATTGCCGACGACGCTTTTCGCTTCAATCCAGAGTTCATCAGGCCGGCTGGGATACAACAAATACTGCAGTGTTGTGTTCTAAACACTATTTGTAAAAGCTTTTATTTAATGACGTGAAAACCTTTTCCAAGCTGGTTAAACATGGTTATTATTAATTATACTTGTTACAAGACATTAATATTAGGCCTACTATATTTTAACACTTTATTCTTTATCTAATCCATTATGGATTTTCAAGAATTAGGAGTGTGTATGATAAAAAAGTTTTTCAACCACACTATATTTGTCATATCCACACATGTAAAATACAACAGATAATAACGGTTAAAATCCAATTAACAGCATATGGACAGAGAAGGTTTTTTTTTATTCTTTACACAGGTAGCACAGGCCTTAAATATATGCACTCGCTGTGACAGTGATGACGACGTTGAGTACGAGTTCCCCTGCTTTAATCTCATAGAAACTCTAGAAGGATTGTGGGAGAAAGGAGATAAGCGCTATGTTAATGGGGCTTATGCTGGCATCAAGATCCAAGCCCCAAGTGAATTACCTTATATCTTAGCTTGCCTCTTCCCTCGTCTTCAGGTTTGTTGGTTCGGTCTTTCTTTTTTATCATTTCCTCCTGTCATTTCAATAAGTGTTGAAAGATATTAACTTACGTGAAACTCCTTAATTCATTAACATAGGTTCAAAATGCTTAGAGTTTAATGAAAAGAAAACGTAAATTTGATTTAAAGAGATAAAATGCACCAGGTTATGGTAATTAGACAATATCAGTTATAGTTAATATATTTTTGAATATTAAGTAGTCGAGATAGCAATAACAGTCGTTGAAAAAATATTTCCATAAATTATAAGGTCCAGATGAGAAGGTCAGCTAATGAGCACCCTGATCCAGAAAATGACCTCTACCAATGGCATCATGGCTTTAAATTTTGTAGTGGGTGTCTAGAAGGGTTGGTGACTCTTGCTGACCATAGAAAAACCATTGAGATCAAAGTTCGAGGACCAAATTCACGAAGGACAGACTGGTAAGGTAGATTTAGCTGTGAAATTCAAAGTCATTACTGGAGAAACAAAACGCTAAACAGGAGGCTTGAGTATTGTTTGAGGGGTTGATTGGCATTGAAAGGTACACAAACCACAGTAATAGAACAATGTATCTATATACAGGTATAATATAGATGTGGTTTTTACATATTGACATCAAGGTTACCCTATTATCAATATTTCTAGTTTGGTTGGTATGTATCTCTATACAGGTATAATATAGATGTGGTTTTTACATATTGACATCAAGGTTACCCTATTATCAATATTTCTAGTTTGGTTGGTATGTATCTCTATACAGGTATAATATAGATGTGGTTATTCTATATTGACATCAAGGTTACCCTATTATCAATATTTCTAGTTTGGTTGGTATGTATCTCCACACAGGTATAATATAGATGTGGTTTTTACATAATAACATCAAGGTTACCCTATTATCAATATTTCTAGTTTGGTTATCTTTACGTATTGTGTGAGATTCGTAACATATTTGTTTTTGTTTGTTTGTAGTTAAGCACAAAGCTACACAATGGATTATCTGTGCTGCATCAACCACGAATATCGAAGTACCACTGTTATACCGAATTTCACAAACATACATAATATGTAAAAGTATTTTTTGTGTGTGTTTATCTTCCAATGTACACTTTAGTACTTTTGATATAATTATTAAATTAAAACATGACTGACTCCACACGCGATTGAATGACCACTGTTTTCACCATCCTCACTGATGACAAATATCAGTTGTTTGTCATACTTTATCATAAAATAACATATTATAAAATCTTGTTGGTATTTGGTTCAACTACTTACTTACAAGGTGGTAAATGTTACCTTCATATCTTAATGTTATAAACATCTATCACTTTATATTCAGAAACATCTCGCGCATTCTGGAAAAAAAAAAATCATCTCCTACAACTGAATGATCGCCTTAAACAGATATTTCCTGAAGTTCCGGTTGTCTCCTTCCGGAAAAGCAGAACTCTAAAAGATATCCTTGTCCATACAAAAGTGAATTACATCCCACCCAAAAATGGTTGTCATCCATGCAATAAAGCTCGTTGTCAAACCTGTAAGCATATAAAAACTACTGACTCATTTTCTGACATGCACAATCAAAGAAACTTTAAAATATCCAAAAGAAATCACTTGTGAAACAAAAAACACCATTTACTTTATACAGTGTAAAAAATGTAATTACCAATATGTAGGACATACACAAACAACTCTTAGAGAACGTTTTAACAACCATAAATCTTCTATTAACACCGAAAAAGATCTCCTTGTTGCTCAACAATTCAACCAACCCGATCATTCTATTAACGATGTTACTCTCATCGGCATTGAAACAAGATTCAAAACTTAAGCAGATAGAGAAATAAAAGAAGCTTATTGGATTACTAATCTAAACACTGTTCAACATTGTGGAATTAATCTAGATCCTGGAATCAGTGATCTCCGTTCATTGGTTTGTTCTCTAAATCCTGTAATCAATGATCTTCGATCATTGGTTTGTTCTCTAAACCTGGAATCAGTGATCTTCGATCATTGGTTTGTTCTCTAAAGCCTGGAATCAGTGATCTCCTATCATTGGTTTGTTCTCTTGATCCTGTAATCAGTGATCTCCTATCATTGGTTTGTTCTCTAGATCCTGGAATCAGTGATCTTTGATCATTGGTTTGTTCTCTAAATCCTGTAATCAGTGATCTCCAATCATTGGTTTGTTCTCTAAATCCTGTAATCAGTGATCTCCTATCATTGGTTTGTTCTCTAAATCCTGTAATCAGTGATCTTCGATCATTGGTTTGTTCTCTAGATCCTGGAATCAGTGAACTCAGATCATTGGTTTGTTCTCTAGATCCTGGAATCAGTGATCTCCAATCATTGGTTTGTTCTCCAAATCCTGAAATCAGTGATCAAAGATCATTGTTTTTTCTCTCTCTAGATCCTGAAATCACTTATCTCTGATAATTGGTTTGTTCTCTGTCAGAAAAATTATTTTTATTTTTGTACTCACAATGTTTACTCCTAATCTTTCTAATACTTACTATTTATTTGTGATAATTTTCCATGCCTGTCTTTAGAAGTTTATCTGCTTAACATATTGTTTTCAGTCAGTCTCCATGTGTCACCTTTATTTTACATTAACATCACCTAGGTATAGTTTTTCTTGACTATTTGTAAAGCAAACTATTTCTAACACCTTTTTTTACATAACATTCTCGTTTCCAGACGTGTTGCACCGGAAATGACACACTTACAAACAGTACATTGAAAAATATACAAAAACACTTCCTGTGGCCTTCATGACGTCCCTAAACTCCCTGTATATAGCACTCATTCAGTTACACTACCATATCCAGATTTTCCCTGAAGTAGAAAGTGCTCAGGTTGTAGGGTTTATATCGTTTTATTTTTAAATTTCTTGAACCTACGTGTTTTTCTGACATCATTAATGCAAAATGTCTGTTTAACTTCATGTCACGATTCAACTTGTTACTTAGAGGGTGACCATATATCACACCTGATATCTGACTATTATAAACACCACGTTAAACGTCTGTTTAACTTGACTTAACATTTGAACTTGTTGCTTACAAATTAATCTGATTTTATACATGATATCTGACTGTTGTAAAACAACACCAAACAGCTTGATTGTATAGCTGTATTGATAATAATTGAACTTAACACATTATTTCCAACCCGTGTTTTTCACTATATATCTTTTGTGCATCCCAGTTTCTACTTTCTGGAAGACCTGGTGAGTGTGGTGGACCAGATGATGATTGATACCTGTCCTGGACTCCTCGTAAGTAAGCACCTTCTTAGCAGCTCAGAACTCCGGCTTCATTCACTTCAGCCAGCTAGTTACCCCCCTGACAAGGTGATTTTGGCTCTTTTAAAGAATGGAACATCAGCCGTTGTTTTAGGGCACAGCCACAAGGAGGAAGTATTGGACTTGGTTTTTTTTGGTGCATCTGATTTAATTGCTCAGTGTCTTACTCCAAGGTCTGAGTCTAACGCTGATGTGGGTGTTATTCTTGCCCCAGATCTTCATGTATCTCACCTGTCACTGCTGTCCCGCCAGAAGTTGTGTTCTGTGCTTGATCCCCCAGAATCAATGGGACGAGATTGGTGTATGCTCGGGGTCCTGCTCGGAATGTCCGAAGATCTCCCTGATATAGATCCTGGCACTTGTCCATCCTTCAGTCCGACTGCTCGTACCCTAGAAGAGTGGACCAAACATCCTGACAGTACAATTGGAAATCTTCTCACAAAGCTGGAGGAACTTGGTCGGAAAGACGCCATTCAGGTCATCCTTCAGTCAGCTCCACTCTTGAAAGTATTTCCTTCACCAGATGAATTCCAGGACAACCTGGATGTGGCTGGAGCAGGTTCCCACTCGTCTAGTTCCAACGTTTCTTGATAAGATGATAAAAGCATCCATTGCTTTCAAAGAAATTAAAATATCATTACTTGTTGTTTTCCATTGCTATCAGAGAAAAGATCTTTCTTGTCATTTTTTTTCTGTTAAATTCCTTGGAGCAAATAAAAAATAAATCATTCATCGAGTCTAAAAATTCATATCTCGATATATTGTCATATAATGGCAAATTCGTCATATATTTACATTTTGTGAGACTTTTTATATGTATAATATTAACAATTGAAAATAGTTTAAACGGTTAATATTTAATGTGTTGCTATAAAAATCTAAATACTCACCTTACAGTTAACCTATCCTTATACGAATTCATAAAAGGAGAATCCAGCTGAATTTACTAGAACCTTTCTTAATCTGCATGAATTTTTAAACGTATTCCCATTGTGATAAAAACCACACTCAACTTAACTTTAGTGTGTAATTAACTGTGTGGTTATAATCATTAGATATGATTCAAAGAGTTGCGCACTGAGATGGAACTAACAATATGTCTTTTTAGCATATATTTAAATTTCATTGTTTGACTTAGTACAACTTGGAATGAAAAACTATAATTTTTTTCTATCTTCAGCTGCTAGCAATCAAGACTTACTTATTTAAGTTAAAGTTTAAACATTTCGAATGTATCAACAAAGTCAAATAATAAACTTAATATGTATTATTTACTTTTATGATTGTTTCTGTCGAGAGTTTTCTAGTGAGGTTGGAATTAACGTCATACTTGTACAAAAGTCTTACAAAAACTTCTCAAGCCATGAAGATACTCTGTTTATTTGTTTGTTGGTAAGCACAAAGCTACACAATGGGTTATCTGTGCTGTGCTCACCACGGGTAGCGAAACTCGGTTTTTAGTGTTATAAGCCTTCAGATTTATCGCTGAGCCATCACGAAGATACAACTAAAAATAGAACTACAAAAAATAATATGATCATTATGGTAAGTGGCTGTACAGAGTAGGGCATAGCAACAAGAATATCAAAAGCCTTGACATGCGATTTGTTTTATATTCCTATCGTGAGGACTAAGAAACTATTGATTTCACTGACGCGAGTTCATTTCTAAAAATAACTCGTTAATTCACCTAAAAAGAACAATCAAAATCCACGCACAGAAGGCGCTAGTACAAGTTGTAAGGTTTTATTCATTTATCTATTTACTTATTTATTTATTAACCTATTTATTTATTCATCTGTTTATTACTTCATTCGTCTGTTTACTTATTGATTCATCTATTTATTACTTCATTCGTCTGTTTACTTATTTATTTATTCATCTATTTATTACTTCATTCGTCTGTTTACTTATTTCTTTATTAACCTACTTATTTATTCATCTGCTTATTACTTCTTTTTAATAACTTATTTATTTATTCACCTGTTTATTACTTCATTCGTCTGTTTACTTATTTCTTTATTTATTCATTTGTTTATTACCATATTCGTCTGTTTACTTATTTCTTTATTAACCTACTTATTTCTTTATTCACATGTTTACTTATTTGTTATTAACCTACTTATTTATTTATTCCCCTATTTACTTACCTATTTATTTATTTATCTGTTCATAAATGCATTTTTGCTATTTATTTAATTACGTTTTCCTGGTATCAACACATCACTGATTACTTGATTGTAAGCCTCTACAGGCTCAAATTACTCACAGGTGTCGCTACTTGTTCCATACATAAGATGCAATAGTAAAGCAATTTCTGGAAGTTTATCTTGATTACCATTCAATTCCTTTGATTTTATTTCATACTGATCTACCCATTCACTTCTTTAAGTTTCTCAACGAGCAGGCATGATGAACAGGGTTAAAACAGTCAAAATTTAAAATACTCCTTACATTTTTGCTTTAGTGATAATTTTAAGAGCACTTTGGTCGTCTATTTACCACTGAAACTTTCGAAGAAAATGGGATTGTGTAGCACGGGATACGACAAACATGGCGAAAATTGTACACCAGAAGTGACGATATAATCAAAAGCTCTTGATTAGTAGTTCAGTAGTAGATAACTTAGAGTATCATTAACTTCTGATGACAGCAAGTTACCAGTAAAGGTCAGAACTACACAAAATTTGTAATAACTAGAATACATGAACACCTTTGTTGTCCGTGACGTTTTCGACCGTAATTCCAATAATATCTTTTGAGGTTCTTTCTACTTAGAACTTGTTTTTTTCTACTTTTACCAATCCCTTGTCTCTTGAAGTATGCGCAAAGCTTTATTTAATCCTCTCTAACAATGTGTACCGATCAATGAAAAAATAAGAAAAATTTCGACAGCGTAACTTTAGAATAGTTGAATGCCTGAGATAAATTGCAACGACACGTGTTATTGCTTAACGATTGAGTCGTGTAGCAGGACGGCACAGATAATACAACAAAACACTATTGTTTATGAAGATAAAAAATTACAAAACAAATTAAATGCAAAAACAAATCGTACAACAAATAGTAATGTTATTATCATTTTTTTCTAACTAAATTAGCAAAGTTCGATTTATTCAAAAATAGTTTACTACACGAACTATGAGCTATGTTTTAACACAACTAATCAGCCATCAACTAGTCTCTATATACACACATGGTCAGTCAGCGGAGAGCCAGAGCAAATACAGTAGAAATCTAAAAGATAATCAACACGTATACGAGAAAGAATAGAGCAATACAACAATGAGATGAGACATGAAACTACTGGCAATTATCATTATAAAGTTGCATATTATCACCTTAACAATTAGTTACGAAGTTAAAGTGTAGACGTGATAATTTAAAAAAAAATTGTGATAATTCTGTAAAATTATTTATCGCCTAATTGGTAGCAAGAAGGATTTTGAATTGAAAACTCGCCAGGAGAAATTTCATTTACGAAAACTGAGAATTAGATTATAATTGTTGTCCACGAAATCTTGAAACTAGAACAAATTCTATTCTCTTTAATAAACAATGAAGTAAAACTTACTTATAGTATTTTTATGTGCAATCGAAAAGTTTATAGCATCATAATTAAAAGTTATGGTTTTACTGGAACCTTTGAACTTGAATATATTGACGGTGTTAATAAAACCTGGATAAGTCAGTAAAATATATCATCAGTTATATCATTCTAGAAACAATATTATCTAACATTTCCTCAGTTTGGATTATATTTAACCTCTGGTCACACCTACAAGTATCAGAACTAAATACTGTTACGACAGCGGAAGTCACGCGACGCTGGGAGCATGCGCGCTGGAATTTCTAGAAGGATCATGACTTATCGAGGAACCCCGCGAATGATCATGAATTTCCTAGTGCGTTCGGGATGCCCCCCTTTTTAGTATATAAGCCTGGCAGATAAAGCCTGCAGGATGATTGATTGAAGGGATATAGATA